CACAATCATCGTCTAGGGAAGAATAAGTAATCTAAGGTGACAAAGTGGTTACTTTTTCTTCCATAGACAACACTTTCAATCGTTTGTGTTTAAGTTAGTGTTCAATTCATTAAACACGGTTAATGTAATGGTGACAGAGACAAGCTGAAAACATTACAGTAAGTTAACCTAACAAGATATAAAGATAGGGGTTTGAGTTATTTTTGTCTATACGCAGAAAAATGTTTTCACCGCTGTTTTCAGGTAAAAATCTAGTTTCTAATGATATATAAATTAGGCTAGGCTAAGGTCCCCATGGTCACCTTATTATGCATAATTTCAAATTTTACCACCAGACAAGATTACCAATTATTAGACAACAAAGAAACCTGGATGATAAAAACATAAGCTAAGAATTCCATAAAAAAAGTTATTTTTTTGTTTTCATAATTTATTGACTTATTCAGTTGCAATTTATTAGTTATTCAGTAGGCTCCCTCTTATCCGGACACCTTTTAATCGGACTTCGGTTAAACCGGACTACACTTGGCAGAAATTACATCTTTTTAACCGGACAATTTTAATCAGCACATCGGTTTAACCGGACCACACTTGGCAGAAATTACATCTCTTTAACCGGACAATTTTAATCAGCACATCGGTTTAACCTGACTAGATCGGCAGGAAGTGGGCGCTACTAAAAGGACTGTTCTCGTGGGAAAGATTTGAGAACAGTGATCACGAGTCTAATTACAATGCTCTGCTAAATTTAAGTTAAATACTGTACTTAGTACCATATGCATTTAAACGGTCCGTTTTAACAATTTTTAGGTGAAGTCAGTTTAACCGGAAAACCCGTTATCCGGACTGGCCTTGGTCCCGAGGAGTCCAGATAAAAGGGAGTCTGTAGCATGTGTTCATAAAACATTAGGTACCATAAAACACCATGTAAGTTAAACCTCACTGCATGTTAATAGGCCTACTTAGTATAAATAATCCACAAATTGTTATGCATGTAGCCTTAATTGATTGTCAAATAGTAATTTTGCCGTAAAAAATAAATAAATAAAATTTAAGTAAGTATCGGACAAAATAACAACAAACTGTTTCTCTCCCCAACACAGAGGAGCTTGCTCCAAAGGACACATACACACACACACACACAAATAGGCTTAACTTAAGTTAGAGAATGCCTGCATTAATTTTTGGTCAAGTTATTGCCAGTGTGTTCCTACCACATCATAAGATAACTATGGTAACTGCTGGCCTCCCTATAAGTTATGACCTTAACCAAAACAGTGGTTAATTGCAATTACTTTAAGTAGTTAACTGAAAATTGAATAACCATTTTAACCCAGTCTATGATGGGAAGGGGAAGTAGGGCCTAGGCCTAGGGAGATGTTAAAAAGTAGCCTACGCTAGGTCTAAACTTAAATGCAAACAGTAGGCTAATAAGTAAATTATCAAAAAAAGTGCAATAGGCCTAACTTATGCCTAAGCATAATATAAATTCACTGTAAACTGCATTGATTCTAGAACTTGTTATAATTTAACTTAGAGGATATGAAAGCCTGTGATTTAAATTGCGCAGAGGATACGCGTCCAGTAACCAGACGTGGATTAGGCCATGGTGGAAGTAAATAAGGTGTGCTACTGCGCATCTTAGCCGGCTGCAGGCGGTGCGGGGGAGGGGTATCGTGACGTCACCTTGGGGGCAAACATGCCTCGTGACCATATCGAGCAGTAACGCCGCTCTAATAAAATTATAATTTTTAATAGTAAGAACCGATAAAAATTCCTGAAACTTTGCATAGTCTTGGACTATTAACATAGGATGCTTATGATTTAAATTTTATTAATTTATTTGAATTAAAAACCATTCAACCACCGATCAAACTTCAAACTTTTTCATACTAACACAAAAAAGTTAGTCGGCTACCAAATCACGTATTATTTGGTCAGGTTAATGAGACCTGCAGGAAAGTTTTAGGGAAAGGTTCTAATTTAACTGTAGTATCGGTTGGATTTCGATAAAAGAATTACTTTTTTAGCTACGAAGAATTATATCAAGCGGCAACGGAGCGCGCGCTCAGCCGATGCCACCGTTTATGGATAATAAGGCCACGCATTTATTATCCAAAACACTGTAGCTACATGTTATAAGGATATACTTTGTATTCTACATTTTAAATGAAATATGTAATATTAACATGTGGCAGATATAATAAGTTTTACATTAAAATGTGTTGCAACATCTTCGTTTTTATACAAATTAACTCTCTTTGATAACAGTTGCCATACAATTTGTAGGATCGGAAATGAATAAAATTTCCTTAACCAAAAACATAGTTTATTACATTTTGCAATCTTATAAAAATATTTATGACCTGAAAGTAAACATCTAAAAAATTAAACATTTCATCACCTCTGGATTTTTCTAAACTTTTTTAAGTTTCTTTAGAAATTTTCTTTTTCGCCACTAGCAAAATTGCATTGTCTTAGCCTCCTGTTGATTTGTTGAAAAAAACTAAAATATCGAACGTTTGGTTGCGTTTTCTTATTTTTCGAACTATTACAAAAACCGTACACTGCACAATGGGGCATTTTGGTAGAAAGATGTGTGCTCTATGGAAAACTGACATCTACTGCAACTCGCGGTGAACACAGAAACGAAAACAAAACAAACAACACGTGATCATCCACACCCCTGCACCCGAGCCAAAGTTGCGACATAGATAACAACCCCAGTGAAATAGGATCCTAGCTGTCGAATTAAACTGGAATATCACATTTTATTATCATGGTATTGCAAGAGTGAAACAATTTTATATTTTTACCTGATTATAAATACAATGTTTAATCACCAACTTATTTTTTAACAGAGTACATTTTTTTACGTTAAATACATTCCTTTTCGTTAAAGATAATTTATTGTTTAAACCACTATTTGCAAACTTTGGTTTTAACTAATCAACAACGATTTGCAATACTGTAAATGCAATTTGGCAACGTTAACCCTATTCACCGAGGAGACAATATTATATTCTCTGTGAACTTTTACGAAATAACCCATATTCAAACGGGGAAAACCACACTGAAGTCAACAGAACAAAAATTTTTCACATAAATATATAAATACAGGAATAAAAATATCAATGATACTATATTCATGAAACTACATTATTTGTTGGATGGCAATGTGTGATTAATACATGGCAACTGACTCGACTCGCAGCACGCGCTCCGATCACGTGCTCATATAACTTAGCATATCTCAGGAAATAACGCCTCTAACGGTATATAGTTTGAAGGAAAGTTAAATTTGGATCTTTATCTAAAACTTTCCCGCTGGTCAAATGCTTCTAACCAAATAGTACGTGATTTGGTAGCCGACTAACTTTTACAGGTTTAGTTTTAAGAAAGGCCAAGTATAAAGAGTGATTTCACGCTTAAGTTTTTAACAATTACAAACTATTTTTTCACAACACGCATTGTCCACTTATAATTGATGTCCATGTCAAGTTTCATAATTTTTCCTCAATTCTAACAGTTCAAAATGTTGATGTTAATAGAGCAGTGTCACGCTGAGCTATATACGCGCGCGAAGCGTTTGCCCCCAAGGTGACGTCACGTCGTGATGCGCAGAACGGTCTCATACTCGTCCGGCTGAGTAGCACACCTTATTTACTTCCACCATGGATTAGGCGTCCCTCAGTTACTGTCATAACCTAACCTAACCAACCAAACTTGCTGATAATGAAAAAAATCAAATGAAGGTTCAATTCTCTTCATAACATAAAATTATAAATGCCAAAAATTCTAACAAAAGATGTACAGTTAAGAAGAAATTACATTCAAAGCAAAATCTGTGACAAAAAGTTAAAGACCTCTTGGATATCAGCCGAGCACTCTATCCACTACACCACGAACAACACCGGCCGAACATCGTATCGTTGTGGTAATGGCGTTCCGGGACCCCACAACCCGGTGACGTCACTACCGGACGCCTAATCCACGTCTGGTTACCGGACGTGTATTCTGTGTTTAACACGATCGCGGCGACACGTCAAATGGCGGGCGTATCCCAGGTCCGGCGCAGCCCTCAGCATCGAACAAACCCGATTGCCGCGTGTGATTGGCTTTCCAATTTCGGGCTGACAAATAGCAAATAACGTGCGAGGATGTCCTGCTTTACAACGAGAGTCGACGTAGTTCGCTAAACACCAACAGATAGCAGCACTGCCTGTAACGTAGCCAGTCCCATTGGAATTGTATTGCCAAATGGAGGGAAAAAGACGGGACAAAAGTAGAATTGTGAGATTGCCAGACGGGGATTTACGGGAAGATTTACTACCAACCAACACCACAACAAAATAGGCCTACAGTATACTATTGAGCAGTGCTGTGCGAGGTTTCAAGTTTCTAGCTCTAATCCTGGCTTAAAAATAAATCATTTCGTACTGCATTGCAGCTTGGGAGCGATCACACCCACCAGGATGGCATTAGGGTTCCGTATGGGAGCGATCGCTCCCATGCCGCCGCGAACGTGTTAAATTGAGTTCTGAAAAGTAGGCCTAGACCTACTTCATCCAGACTAGGCAGAAAGATTTGTTTGCATATGACCAGGGCTAGGCTTACGAGGCATAGACCTATAATTTTTTTTAAGTTAAAAGGGCTTTTGTCATAAAACAAAATAGGCTAGGCCTAGGCCTAACTTAGTTGTTTGTTTTAGGTTTAGGCCTAACTTAGGCCTATGGAGAGTTGGTGATCGGAATGGTTTGAGTTTACCCAGCCTATTAAAAGAAAGTAAGGACGCCTAAGTTAAGCCTCAACTCTCATTTGCCAGCTTTGGACCTAGACTAGGACTGGGGCCTATATAACTTGGGGACCCAATGAGTCGGCATAGGCCTACGTGGCTTTAATTAGTTACTAATAATTAATTAATGCCACTCAAACCGGTTAACAAATCAGGTATTAACAGAATTATTTTAAGATGGTTATGCTATAAATTATATGCTTACCTTAAAATCTTTCATGACCCTACAACTTTCAACTGGTCCGATCGTCGAGAACATGCTATACAATTCACGATCAGTGAACGTTTGGGGCAGATAATTAACGATTAAATTGGAATTAGTACGTCCATTTTGGGCTGCCATTATAGATAAATGCTACTCAACAGATGATCAATAAGTATAATGATAAGTAAAAAGTAAAAAGATTTGGACAAAGAAAACCTCCTGTTCTTTCTTGCTAAACAAGATGGCGGGGTTTGGATGAGTGAGAGTGAGTCTAGTAGGCAACGGCAAACGGTGGCGTGCGTGAGCTGCGAACAGTGTTGCCAGTATTGCTACCCTGGATTCATCGAAATTTCCCCATCTGACTGGGGGGGAAATCCCCTCTTTATCACCAGCTAAAGCAATAATAATATTGCAGTTCCTTGGTGGTGCCTTTAGTGGGCCACACGCTTAACAGTGTCAAGTGCTGAAATGTCTTGTTGTCAGCATTCTATCAAAAAGTTTTTCTCCCTCCAGATCCATACATGTGTCATTTTGTTGTCATTTTGATACTGATTGTTATTGATTCGCACTGATTGTTATTGTAGTTAATTATTTACACTGTTTCTCGTTATTGTTATTGATGTTAATTATTTACACTGTTTCTTGTTATTGTTATTGATGTTAATTATTTACACTGTTTCTTGTTATTGTTACTTTTTTCACAATATTGTAACTGTTGCAAGTTTACTCAAACTGTTCACCACCACCACCAAATTCTTACTCATTTATTAATGTTTTCTATTGTATCATCTTGTTGCAGGTAAATCTTGTCTAATGTATTATTTTGTAAAATGGCGATTGCCGTCGAAATGAATAAATAAATAAATAATCTTTGAATAACACGAAAAGACTTCAAAATCTTTAAGTCCCCAAATATCCTCTCTCCAACCAACAAATTCTAAAAAAATCCATTTAACATACAAATATCCCCAATTCAAACCCACCCGTGCCATATGAGTGTGGCTTACACTCTACATGAAAATATTACTTTAACAAACATGTACATTATTCAGCAAAAATCCTCGAATAATCCACCAAGCCATCAAAGTCCAAAGTCCCCAAATTTCCTCTCTTCAACCGCCAAAATCTAAAAAAACCTTTTAACCATCAAAAATATTCCCAATTCATAGCCAATCTATATGACATAAGTGTGTGGGTAAACATCATCATTAACTCCAGACGACGACCCGACGTCCGGGTAGAAATGGCGACGCAAGTAGTGTTGTTTAGGAGCCATCAGACGTGTCATAATGAAAATCCCCATTTTATCCCAAGCTAAAGCAGCAAAAATCCTTCAAAAATCCGCCAAGCCATCAAAATCTAAAGAAAAGTACCCAATTTTCCTCCATCCAACCAACAAATTCTACAAAAATCCCTTTTAACTACCAATAATTATCCCCAATTCATACCTATCTATGCTATTCCAAGTGTGTAGGTATCAGATGTACTCTAATGAATTTACTTTAACATGCATACATTTCTTCACTCCATAGCAAATGTATAGTATATTTTTTTTACTAGATAAAAATATGATAAAGGAGGCCAAGGAGGGGTTGATTTCCTTTTTAAATCCCCCCATCGTTAAAGGTTCTATTGATCACTGACTTTCTACTCAACATTAATAGTTTTTTTAATCATCATTTATAATAACCTACTTTACAAAATAAGTCTTAAATGGTAATAAGGAAACAACTATAGGTCATAAAATAATGCTGTATATTCCCACCAAATTTTTGAACAATTTATTATTAACAAACTAGTACTTGTAATATATTCTGTAACCTATTCTGTTGGTTTTAGACTGAATCCTTGGTTTTTTTAACTATCCTAACTTCATCCATATTCTGACTCAAATTTGATTGAATCCCAGATATCCACTAAAAAATCTCCCACCGGACACAATGCATCCACCAAAAGAATTCCCAAGCTTAGAAAAAAAACCCCAATTTGGTGGCAACACTGACGGCAAAGCTCGGAGTGAGCTCGGTTCTTCTTGTTTTGCCACCAGTGTGACCACTACACAAACATTATTACTCCGCATGGAGGAAAAAAAATAAATTTAGCCAGTGAAAACAGTGCTATATACAAGTAAATGTATATTTTCTATCATAATTATACAGATTATTAAAATACTAGCAAAAATAATCAATAACAAATCAAATGTATTTTCCTGAAGAGTAGTACATATTTAAGATTAATAAAAATGTATTTATTAATGCCAAATAAATTTAAATAGGCCTATCCTGCTCGTAGAAACTACACTTTACAGGCTCGGATTCTTTGCAATGACATAAATTGCAGAAAATAATTAGGCAGTGTGGCGTCAATAAAAAATTAGAAATCCAATGCCATCTTGTTTCAAGATTCTTCATTAAACATATAGGCCATAATTATAGGACTGCTTCAGTCTCATATTCAATGGGATTCTAACTCTATTTCTGAGCTCCTACAAGTGATGTAATATTCCCGGGAATACAAAATCAGAGAAACATTCCCAGCGAATTTATGGGAAATTATGACCTCCACAAGACTGCGACTGCGGGAGATTACTATTATGCCACAATCGCGGGAGGCGATTACTATGTCCACACGACCGCGGGGGACGATATAATAATGATGGCTTCATGGGCGAGAGGGGTGTTCAGAATTTGACCGTGATCGCGCAAGACGATGATAATGTTCACATGACCGTGGGAAAAGATCAGAATTTTGCCTCATTTGCGGGTAGACGATGATAATCTTCTCAAGACCGCGGGATATTTTCATATAGCTGCGATCATGGAAGACAATAATTATGTCTACATGATTGCTGAAAAAAGTCAGAATTTTGCCAAAATCGTAGGAGACGATTACAATGTCTATACGACCGTGAGGGATTCGTCAGAAGTTTACCACGATCGCATGCAAATACAAACACCCCTTTATTTATTTTTCAATTTATTGGTGCCTCAAAAAAAAAACAATTGCATCGCGCTTAAGGCACGTGCCTATTCGGTAAATCGGCCCAGGTTGAAACAGCTGATATAATTCGTTAATTTCTTTAAAATATAAATACTCATAAGGTTACCATGGGAAACTACAGAGCCACTGGGGCGGAGCCCGAAAGGATTTTAGAGATAAGAATAGGCCTACATGTTAATCAGGAATGTGAGCTATCATCATGCCAAATTTCTGCCCAATCCAACCAGTAGTTAAAGCGTGAATGAACCCCAAACAAACTAACACACAAACTTTCACATTTATTAGGTAGTATCGTTTGTTTTGTAGATAGTTCAATCTAGTTTTATTTGTGGTGGTCGATGGCGATAAATTATTCTTATATTGTAAATAAAACACTGGTACTAAAAGTGAAACTGATAAAGTTAGCATGGGTAAATGAATAAAGCTTATTCTTTTTCACACACTTTTTCCTCACGTTGCAAACAAATTACTGTTTATGATGGACGAGATTGGATTTTTAGTTCGAGACAGATTTTTTATTTCTCATAAAATGTTGAGACAAGATCGAGACGGGATTTCCTCCCGTCATGAATCCTGTGATATCAGGAAGACCATGTTTGACATTTTAACCTGATTTTGCAACGGTGTTAAATACTTACTGATTTATGACGGATGACTGTTACAATAAAAAAATAATAATAATAGCTAGGCAAGAATATTTCTAATATTTTTTAAAAAACAACTGTATAAAAAAAAAATTATTAATTACGCCTACCTTATTAAAAACGAATCTTGTGCTTAGGAAACATGGTGATATCAGTTAGGATAGAGTTAAACTTAGAAAAGAAACCAAATTTATCGGTCATAAACATCAGTCTTACTAGGTAAGTATCAAGTAACAATTATTCAGTCTTGTGTTATTTTTAGAATGATATATTATTGAAGTGACTTGTTTTGGCTATGAAATAGAGAAAGAAAAAAGAGCTTTATTTTTCACAATTCATTACACCCTGTCATATATACAATAACATAAAACAATGGTTTGTTTAACCGTCTGTTTGGTTGGCACCCTGCTTTGAATGAACATTATTTAAAAACTGTAACATAAAGTACCTAACTATACATATTAAAATAACAACGATTATTGAAATTCAGCTCATAAAAAAAAACTGATCATAAAATAATAGGAATATTAATTTGTATAAAATACTTACTTGTTTTGGCTATGTTTACAGTAGTAAAACATGTCTCACACTGCTTACACTTAACAAAACTTCTCATAATGATGTAAAACCAAAAACTTATAAAAAAATTACAGTAATATTTACATGTAAAGAATTTATTAAATAAGAACACCTTCGCAAAGGAAACGCAACTACAAAACGCTCCGGTATTGCATTGACTTTCTGCAGGCGTTTTAAAAAGTTTTTTTTATCTGGTCTCGAAAAAATCTCGATCAAAATAAGTGACTACTTACATTTCTCAAAAATGTCCTGAAATTTCGAGACTTGTCTATTACTAGTTTATACTGTACACGCTTCCCAGGGTTTAAATAGTACTGTCTATCACTCCTTCCTACCTAGGATAAAAGATAAGCAGCTAGAAGAGTAGAGGAGTTGGATAGAGCTGTACAATTTACATTTTTCTTACTTGTAAGGTTCACGGAAAGTAAATAAAAGATATGTCTAATAATATTTAATACATATATTTGTGCTTATAATGTTAACTCACAAGACAGTAGTTTACATAAAGGATGGTAAGTGGTGATCAATTTTTGATTGGACACTCCAATCATCATCATACCCAATATAGTCCAGGAGCTGAGGGGGGTTGAGCATGCATGAAAGTAGTACGCAATGTTATTGCTGATTATTGTAATATGGACTGTGGTGATAAAAATTACGTATGTCGCCTATTTCAAAAGTGGTCGATAAGGTGGGGGGGGAGGGGGCAAACATGGCGGTTTGCGCTATGCGTTAAAACGCTGATAGTTCGAAAACGGTAAAAGATAGAACATCGGTTAAAACGTCGTTGTAATCCTAAAAATGTGGACAACAATAATGGTCATTGGGTCCGAGGTCGTATCTCTATAAATAAACAAGTTATTGTATAAAATATGTAAAAATGGACTTTTCGTGTAGATTTTTTACCGAAAGTAGAATTAATTTGTGAGTGTCGCAAAGAAGTAATATCAAATATCTTTGCTGATAGTTGTAATATGGACTGTGGTGATACAAAATACGCATGTCGCCTACTTTTCAGGTGGTCGAGAACTTGGGGGGAGGGGGGCAAAGATGGCGGAACGCGCTATACATCGAAATGACTGTAGCTCGAGAACGGTACGAGATAGGAGTAGTACGCGATGTACTACTTTCATGCATGCTCAACCCCCCTCAGCTCCTGGACTAATAGACGAATGACCATCACTGGCATTTCCTTAAAATTCACGACCTGTGAGTCATTGTTGAAATTGTCCATTAGCCAGGACCATTATTAAAAGCTTTAGACCTTATGATGGAAAACATCTGGGACCAGGTTTGTACCATCAACAAGCTACTGGCTTTTCTCATCATATAACGACTTCACAATTAAACTTACAAACAGATTTAACGTTTTGCAGGAACAGGACTCAGACATAACAGTACAGGAAAGATGGGAGCATATCAAAAAGTCAGTAAACGAAGTCTCCGAAGAGGTTTTGGGATTCCAAAGAAACAAACGGAACAACAAACCTTGGTTCAACGAGGATTGTCATAGACTAATTGAAAATAGGTTAAAAGCTAAAAAAGCTATGCTCACAAATAAGAATGAGATCACCAAACAACAGTACAAAGAAACCAACAGAGAAGTTAACAAATTACTACGGGCAGCAAAAAGAAAGTTTGTCAACGAGCAAACAGAGAAAGCAGAAAAAGATAGTAACAAAAATAACACAAGGGATTTCTTTCGTTTTGTTAGATTTTTCAAACAAGGATACAAAGCAAAGACAGTAGGTGTGAAAGACAATGATGGAAACATTATCTGTAATAAAGCAGAAGCACTAAATATTTGGAAATGCTATTTTGAAGACCTCTTAAATGGAGATATGACAGCCAACAGAGAAGAAGAAGGACAGTTTCAAAATGTACAACCAATGATAAACCCTCCTACTCTTGAAGAAGTATGGAATACAGTCAAGAACTTAAAAAACAATAAAGCTCCGGGAGGAGACAACATACCTGCAGAACTACTCAAAGCAGGGGGTCAGTCTATAATAGAAGAACTCCATAAGTTAATCTTAGACGTCTGGGAGAAAGAAGAGATTCCAATGGAATGGAAAATAGCAACAATCGTCCCGATACACAAAAAGGGAGATACCCGTAACTGCAACAATTACAGAGGGATATCCTTAATTAATACTGCATACAAAATCCTATCAAGAATAATTAATGACAAATTAGTATGTTATGCTGAAGAAATCTTAGGGGAACATCAAGCAGGCTTTAGAAGCCAAAGATCAACCACGGATCAAATTTTCACCTTGAGACAAGCTATATCCAAATATTGGGAGTTTAACAAGACAGCACATTTACTTTTTGTTGACTTTAACAAAGCATACGACAGTATCAATAGGAAACAAATGTGGAAATACATGCAAAAAAATGGTGTACCTGAAAAACTAATAAATATGGCAAGGCTATGCAATGAAGAAACCAAGTGCAAAGTGAGAATTAACAATGAATATAGTCAAGAGTTTAGTATAAATACTGGAGTTCGTCAAGGGGATGGACTATCACCTCTACTGTTCAACCTAGCTTTAGAAGAAAGTTTGAGACAAGTTAACCAATGCAACGCGGGACTAGAAATAGGGAGAAAGATAAATATTCTAGCGTATGCTGATGACATTGCTCTCATGGCGGAAAATGAAAGTGATTTAAAAGTTTTAGCAGGAACACTTATAAGGAAAGCAAAAGAAATAGGCTTAACAATAAATGAAAATAAAACCAAGTATCTAATAGTAGGACGAAATCCACCACAAACACCTCTTCCTCTGACAGTAGAATCCTACTAATTCCGAAGATGTACAGAATTTAAGTATCTAGGAATAATTATTGACCAATATAACACAGAAGAAACTGAAATTAGATCACGACTGCTCAGTGGTGACAGATGTTACTGGTCCTTGCAAAACCTATTGAAAAGTAAACTTTTATCCAGAAAAACTAAATTAAAAGTCTATAAGACTATTATACTGCCTATAGTTACCTACGGATCTGAAACGTGGGTACTAACCAAACAAGATGAAAAGAAGCTAATAATTTTCGAAAACAAAATTCTCAGACGTATATATGGCCCAATTGAAGAAGAAGGAATTTGGAGGATTAGAACAAATAAAGAATTACGTGAGGTCTACAAAGATCCGGATATTACTGCATTAATTAAAAACCAAAGATTTCGATGGGCAGGACATGTCTACTGGAGACCTGAAGAGTCAGTCTTGAGAACAGTGACCGATGCTGTACCTGTAGGAAGAAGACCTTTAGGACGCCCAAGGCTGCGATGGGGGGACCAAGTCCGGAGGGATATGAGAAGGATGTCCGTTACAGAGGAGATGATGAAGGACCGAGAAAGATGGCGCAAAGCTGTTGGAGAGGCCAAAAACCTGCTTAGGTTTGAGTGGCCAGCTAGGTAAGGTAAGGTAATAACGACCTTTTTAATACAAGACAAGCACTAAAACCTCAATCTCGATATTTTGTGGCGACAGTTTGTACCATATATATATATATATATATATATATATATATATATATATATATATATATATATATATATATATATATATATATATATATATACTTCAATGAGCGCAAGTCTCGTGACTTAGGTGCGTGCGCAGTCTCCCCGCGACAAGCACGCGCGGAGAGGAGAGTACAGTAGTGTCTTGCGTTCCCCCAGCAACAGTCGACTGGCCCGGGTAAGTACTAGCATAAGACTATGTCTAGCTAGATAGGTTCGTAGGGGTTGGGGAAGGGTGTAGGTTAGGGTAGATATAAGTAATTAATTATGTAATTTGTTAGGCTCAACAATGGTCGTGGTCTGGTATTTAATATTCAAATTTAGAATTCACATTTGCTAAATCTAGTTACTTTTCACGAATCAGAATAGGTCCAGATATATATTTTTTTCTTTGTTCAATATATTATAATTAGATATATTAAATAACACAAAAGTTGGCAGTTAGCTTCCTTGTAGTAGACTTGAACAACAACAAGAAATGTGCGTGATTTAGTAGTGGTGAGACTGGTGAGAGGAAGGTATATAGGGCTCAGGTATCTTCATTTACACTCATACTACTCCACATCACCACAATTTCAAATTGTAAATAAAGAAATTTCCATTTCCTTTTCTTTAGTTTTGAATTTTCAACAGAATCACGAACTAAAAGAATAGAAAAAAATAAAACATAAAATGACTTCACCCAAAACCCCTATTATACTTTTAGTATCAAAGGTCAATAAAGGTATATTCTTAACATTACTACTTTCTTAATTAGAGGAGCAGCAGGATTTGAAATTTTAAAATAGCGTTTCACCAACCATATTATTCAAGTATAAACCATCTTGAAAGTAGTTTAGTAACTGTAATTGTCTCACCAGTAAGCACATGTTGTATATCCTAACAAACACCTAAGACTACTGTATCTTTTTATACAGTAAACATTCTGTGAGTAGTCATATTTTTTAGCTTCTATAGAGTTCAAAAAGTGTAAATGGTACTTTCCTGTTAAAGGGAACATTCATTATTATCGATGATTTTTTTCGATACATCGATATTTTTGTTTTCCTTTATAAATACATTACAAATTGACAGCTGATCTTAAGGCTAAAATACAGTCTATTATATGGATTAAGAAATGAAATTCTTCTAAGCTAACCTAACATAACCAACCAAACTTGCTGTACCATTTAAAAATTCCGTTTGATAACAGAAAAGGTGAGTGGAGAATATTAAACGTAGTTTTTTAATGTTACAGCAAGTTTGGTTAGTTTTGTTAGGTTAGTTTAGAACAGTTTCATTTCAATATTTTTTTTAAATTATTGTTTGTTGATTCTGAACAATATTTATATAGGCTATCGTAGTTGTCAGCTGATATGTTTCAATTTGTTATTATCGAAAAATCGAGAGAAAAAAATCATCGATAATAATGAATGTTCCCTTTAACAGGAAAGTAGGTACCGTGGTAATGTATATTGATGACATATAGCACTTAAAATCATTTTTTGGACCATTTGATATTTTAATTAATATTCAACCTTTTGATCCAAGAAAAAGTTGTGTGAATGAACTAGTTAAAGAGGTTTGGTTTACTTTTGCTCAAACCGAAAAAAAGGACTAAAGAGCAAGAAAGTCTTCCAGGGTTGTTTCGCCACTGAATCTCAAATAAAGACAATTTATAAAATACAGTAGAGTCGCACAAACTCAGCACTCGATAACCCAGCAGTCTGGATAACTCGGCCATCACCTGGCAAAGAAAAATATAATTTTTTTTGTCCAAATTAATCATGGAGCCAGCTTAAATCAAATTATTCGCAACTGGTACTAAGGATTTGTTGTACCATATCTGATGACTTAATACTGACTTGTAATATAAATATAAATAAAATACCCCCGCCGCATGTCAGAATTGATTTTCAATCAAATATATTTAAAAAAAACATTAGTTTTAACGGGTTCTTAGGTTTGTTGCTACAAGGAAACTAATAAAGTTTGTTTTTTAGAAAAATATTAATAGCTTAGTATAAAATAAATAAATTAGCCAAGTTTGATCAAAATGTATCCATAAACACACAAACTACAACATTTTACAATATTCTCCATAAGAATAACATGGGAATTTTAAATTTACAACTTTTTTAATTTTCTCCGTTACCAATAACCGTACAAAAGTATTTTTATATACTAAATTATTTGTTTTTTAAGCTCTTTAAAAAGGTCTAAAGAGAAATTGGGAAATTTTATGTTTTGAGGGTCAAAAGTGAGAAAAACCAATTTTTACCCCGTAAAAGCCCCCGTAAAGCCCCGTTCTCATGGTCCGATCATGCTGGTTCTAAACCAAATTTCATCAAAATCGGACAAAAATTACTCATGTTATCGCATTCACGGACACACACACACATATATATATATATATATATATATAAATCTATACATATATAAAAATTTGAACGAATGGTGTTTTTGGCCACTGGGGACATCAAAATGAAAAAGTAAATCGGTCCCAGGCCTAGATCTTACTATGCCACCTACGGTAATAGCTACTTCTCTATAGGGAAATTCGCTAAAAGACGGGTAAAAAGCTTAAAAACTGTATTTTTCTTATTTTCAATCCTTGTTCCTGATAACCCGGCATTTCACAAACTCGGCACCCTTCTAGTCTACATTACGCTGAGTTTGTGGGACTCTACTGTATGTAGGGTGGCGGGGGCAAGGGAGGCCATAGCCCCCTTTCCTTTTGCTCAAGGGGTTGAGAACCTAAATTAAAAAAATAACACAGCTTTGTGAGGTTTTAGAACTCTTAATGTGTCGATAATAAATCTGTGTAACAATAGCTTTTGAAGCATGTGGCTTATGGCAGAAGAAAGTCAGTAAAAAATAACCCCACTACAGAAAACTTGGCGACTAAGGGAATTTCCTTTTGCCTAGTTGGATTTTTACTCAAATATTTCCTTAAAAATGTAACGTTCATCCCCCATTAAAATAAGGTTTAACAAATAAATAGGTTTCCTAATACAGGGAAGGTACGGTAATAAAGTGTGTTTTTTTACTTGAATGTTAGTAGCTTAAAATGAAATTAATAAAAATTTTCCAAATTTGAACAAAATATTTACAACAAAAGTTTATAATTACACAAACTACAAGTCTACTTTATTTCCAGAAGCGTCACATGGCAGTTTTTCAAGTACCACAAAATGGTTTAGAAAAATTGGAAAAAATGGAAACAACTGGTTAACATTTATATTAAGTGGTTTATTAAAGACAATTCTTGAACTAATCGATGCAATTCAACGGTATAACGTCAAACAAAAATACAATAGCATCAAGTTCATATTAACTTCAGTCAAGTAATATAAACTTTTTCAACGAAGTAAATTATACATTAACAATATATATTATGGAATACAAAAACCTGGAAAGTCATCCAAAGCACTCTCGATACATGTTTTGTAAGGTTACATAAAATAATTCTGAAATATTCTGTGATAAATCTAAATGTTGTGATCAAAACTTTAGAACAAGATGGATAAATGGTACTAAAAAAAAATTATTTATTATAATTGATTATAAAAAAATAGTTCAGTAATAAAGTAGTATGAAATCCTGAAATGACTGAAAATACAATATAAAATACAGTTACAGTATATGAATGATATGATAACACTCTTTTCTTCCAACAGTGTTCAGTCGATTAGTATATATATAAAAGTTTATTGTTCTTATGATATATTACATATAAATAAACTTTCACTGTGTTTTTTACATAAAATAGAATAGAGTGAAACAAACTAATATATAATAAGTAGCATTAATTTCTTGTTATAGCAATTCAACAATAGTTTTTTGCAACTAGTGAACAAAGTGATACTTTTTAAACGAGAACAATATTGACGCACAAGGCTTGCCGAGGTTGTCTATTTCATTGAGTTTGAAAAACGACACTTATAAAACAAATTACACATAATATTTGTCTACAATTTTTGGTACGAGACAACTAACAAATAATTAATTTTTTTGAACTAAAACATTGTTTTTTTTTATGTTTTATATGTAAAAGAGGATATAATCTACATACAAACCATTTACTGTAGATTATTATTCAATTGATATAGACAAAATCTAAATTTTTTTGCTCGGTTGCCATCAGGAGTGAGGAAAAGTAGTAAGCAAAGTAAAATATTAAGAAATCAGCTGTTTTGCAAACTAATAAAAGTGAACAAAATAAAATAAATGTAGACAAAATACATTTTTTATAGGTTTTCGTCGAACTAATTATTTTACACTTTTTGAGTTTTCTTTCATACAAAAAACACAATTAAGTCTTCTGATATTTTTAAATCACAGTTCTTAGTCAGATGGTCTCTTTTCGCTGTGCTTTTTTGTAAACTCTTCAGCATTCTTTAAGAACTTTTTTCTGTCCTTCATGTACTCCTCAGCAAGTTCAGCTCGAAGCGGGTGTTCAGGCTCCGGGTCGTTGACTAGAGCCACCAAAGCTTGAATCACTGCACAAATATAACAATCAAGTTAAGGTCACACTTAAAAACAACCAAGCATTTATAAACACCCCTTGTCACAGAAAACATGCAATATCAAGTTTATTTTAAAAGTTAGGCCTAATTTATTTATATATTATTATAGCATTGAGACGATAAAATACGCGAAAAATAATCGTTTTGGACGTTTTGGTTCGGCTTTGTTTCACGTTCATCCTATTGTATGGAAGTGCCTATGTTGGCAGCAGTGGCTTCACATGTGTTTCCAGGCTGTTGTTAATACTTCAATACTTTTCTATGAAATGGCGACCATACAACGTAGGTATTTTAAGTTTTTACCGTCTTAACAAAAATTCCCTGCGAATCCCTGTCATTAGGCTCCGCTTCGGATTTGTGCGGACTATGAAGTCCGGAACCCGTGAACCGCCCCTAAAATTATTAGATGTGGACTGTGATGAAAATCTTAAATGGCAAGAACACATAATGCAGTTAGGTAAAAGATTAAATTCAATATGCTTCAACATGAGTTGCCTCACCCACTGTACCAGTATGAAGACAAAATTAAATTTATACTATGGCTATTTTTATCCATTATTAAAATATGGAATAATGTTATGGGGCTCATCAGAATTAGTAATATTTTAAAAGCACAGAAAAAAATTCTAAGAATTATAACACTAAAAAAATCGCAGAACCTCATGTAAACATATTTTTAAAAGCTTTAAATTAATTACAGTACCAAGTATACATCCACGAGGTACTTTGTCACGTCAGAAACAATTTAATGCGGTACTCTCAAGAAAAAACCAGTCACAGTTATAGTACAAGAAACAAAAACTTACTTGTGTACCCTCATAATTCCACAACAACCTTAGAGAAAAGCATTTACTATATGGGAATGAAACTTTATAATAAATTGCCTAACCCTATGAAAAGTTACACCCTCAACCCAACACAATTTTCAGAGAAGGTGAAAAGCTTGTTGATTAGAAAGGCCTATTACAAAGTTAACAACGTTTTGAATGATTCTGAAATGTGATGTGATAGTCTTGGATGCCTACTTACCATAGCTTTGACTGAACAAAATTTGCTTAAAACCTTGATACTTAAATGTTTTATATTGTTTATTTAAATTAAGACCATGTTAAATAGTTGTAAGCTTAGTTTTATCCTGTTATAATTACTGTTGAATTTTCAATTTGGTATATTAAACTGTTGAATTTTATTAGTATTTATAAACATAGTCTATTTTTTGTTAACGATTTTAAAATGTATTTAACCTAGAAGGAAAGAGACGACTTGTATAAGGACAATTTTATTTATGACGAAGCACCTGTACATACATCCTATAATATTCTGTACGTTTTGTGCCAATAAATATCATTCATCATTCAATAACTAGGGGACCTCATTGCTTGTATTACATTCGATAAATTAACTTTTTTCTTTCAATTCCCAATTTTACTGAGGCGTGAATTCCGTCAAGTAAGAGTGCTGTAGAAGGCACAATAGATAGTCCAGTAACACATCGATATATAACTACTGGATTGCACGCTGTCCATAAGCGCTGTGGTTTAAATTACGGTCGCACACACATGTATACTGCGGGAGAGTATCCATAGACGCAGAGGTGCTGAGTGGGCAAGAACTGAGGGAACTGAGCGACAACCATGCGACTACATACAAACACTGGCAGGTTTTTAATGTAATTAGATTAATAATTACGATGCATAATGTAATTAGATTGTTTTTAAGTTACCTTTGTCGTAATGGGTTACTTTTATTTAAATGCCTTTAAAAGTTTACTTAATTATTCTCAAAACAAATTATCATCACACCTTAAATTTCCCCCCTTTTAATATTATATGACCATCGTCAGACGCGTGAATGTTGGATTTGGCACCCTGGCTGTTTGTCTTGACGTCTGTTACGAGAAAGACTAAGTTTTTTTAAATACATGTGATCACTAGTGCCTAGTTTGTTTTAAGTTTCAAAAGTCAATCAAATACAATGGTTAAGAATTGTGATGCATACAATTGTACATTGAGATGGAGTAGAGGTTGCAACATTTCTTTTTACAAGTAAGTATCTATATGTAATATGTGAAGCTGTTTTTTGTTAAATCTACTCCTCCGCTATTTGTGGACCAATTCCAACGTTTAAGGTGTCAAAAGATTCGTCTCAATTTGTAGATTTGTAATAAGGTATTACAATTTCAAAATTCTTACCCTTAAGGGCACAAAGCACTCTTAAAAGTTGACTTTTCCCTATAAGAATTACACAGAACAAATTTTAAAACAAAAAACAGCTATTAATAAAAAGAAATTCAATAGCTTTTTTGGAGCAAATATTGATGTTTGGAATATTCAGGAGGTTATAGACCAATGTAAACAGTTAATCAGTTTTGTTGGAAGAATAGAAAATGCATGGAGTTCAAAGAAGAATTATTGAAAACAGGGGGAGGAGACAATTAATAAGAGATCGTATGCGTTTGAGGAGAGTAGAATAAGAGAGGCATGGTCTAAGTACGGAATCCAGATACACTCTCACTTGGTGAGATTAATTAATATTTGCCAGTTATGATATGCAACTTATTTTGGAAGTGAACAAATACATGAAAAATATACACATTAAGTTGTCATTGTGGCAAAGTAAACTTTCCTAATGCAAGATGAATACATGCAATACAAGTTTACAGGTAACGCTGACAGATCAAGACATTTCAATACTTTTACTAGTTAAGAAACTATGATAATGCCTTGGCTATGGTAAGCTCAAGTAGTAAGATTTAACCATACCTTGCGTTTTTATTTTCAACGTTTTTGTTACTCGCTCTACTTCAATTGAGAAAAAACGCAAATGGATTATTTACATCATGCTATCACAACGGCAAGGTTACTTTGCCAGTTCCACAAGCAAACATATACAAAGTTTATTGACTGTAAGCCACCAACAATCAGGACATTTCAAGTCAAAAACAAGAAGTTTCAACAACTCTTTTACTATGGTAAGTGTTAGCTGTTCACGATGATGCAACATTTCTCGGTTTGTACGTAAATTCAAATTTAAATTGGAACAAAAGCAATAAAAGCATTGCAAATTTAATTAGTGGACTGAATTTGGCTTGTTATCAAATGATATGTTTAACACGTTCAGTGCGGCAGGCATTCCAACAGGCGCTCGCCAATACGGCGCGTTACTGTAACAGCGAACGCGATTGGCATTAAAATACTTCAATCTGACAAAAAACAAAAGAGCAGCGGCGATTGTACTCCCTTAGTCCAAGATTGGACGTAGTTTCCTAAAACACCCAAAGGTAGCAGCACTGTCTGGATCAGTAGTTAGTGGCTTTATAATATGGCTTGAAGAGAGAAAATCCCCAAAACCGGGACAAAAGCAAATATTGTCGGACGGGATTTTACGGGAAAGTTTAGTACCAACCTACACCAAAATAAAGCTCACATTCTAAGCTATAGGCTAGCAACGATTTTAACGTTCCCCGGCAATGGCTGAGCTCATACTGAACAAATGTATTGGAGGTTGCGCAACTACATCAATTGATGTAGTCAGCACTGAACGTGTTAAGAAACCCAATTGACTTAAAAACTCGTTTGATGTTATACTATGCATACTTCTATTATTCAAGTCTTTTATAACTCCTTAGTCTTAAGGTAGCCTATTTGTTTTTGACAATATCACATGTTTCATAGCATTGCTATATTATGTAAATGTTATGTGACATTCGTCTTTGCCTGCCGTCTGGTGAGCAAGGCGGCCATAGAAAAGATTGCCGAAAAGGTGGTGTACCTGCCCGATGAAAGAGCGCTGCCTTCTAAAAAACGTCGGAGGCCTTCCACATTGGAGAGTCCTCCAAAAAGAGAAGAAGGCGTCCAGACCAAAAAGACAACGGTAAAGGCCAAGGCGACTCAGACGGACCTCTCGTGTGCTGTGTCCAGATCCTTTTCGGACGTAGCTGCAGCTACAGCGAAGCGCCGACAGCCACAGCCACCCACGACCCCCATTCAGGGAAGTTCCCGAAAGGGGTAAGTTGGGAGACACCTGGGGCTGTGTGGAAAAAACGCCTTTCCAAAAGGAGAAGAGGCAATTGAGGCGGGCGGAGGTCGCCTCCATGAAGAATGAGGCAGTGAAGGCACAGGCAACCGGCGTGGCCCAAACTGGGACCGGCTCGGAAAAAGGCGCTGCCAAAAAAGCTCAGGACGGTCAAACCCTCAGGGGGGAGATCTTTCGCCGAAGTCCTTGGTGTAATTAAGATAAAAGCTAAGCCGGAGCAGACCGATACGGTTGTACGGTCGATTAGACGAACCCGGGACGGGGACAATCTCCTTGAACTGGGTAGGTCGAAAGACAAGGCTGCTTTTGCTGTCGAACTTAAGGCAGCAACTGAAGGCCAGGGCACCATCTGTGCTCTTGAGCCTTAAACATCAATCGAGGTTCGAGACATTGATTGTGTGTCGACGGAGAACGACGTTGTTGAGGCCCTGAAGAAAGCTGTACCCAAGCTTGCCGTGCAAACGGCCATTCTAAGGGTGTGACTCACTAAACCCAATGGGAGTCAGCAGTTGATGGCGGTCGCCGAAATGGCAGACACACAAGCCAGTAAGGTGTTGGCAGTCCAGCATCTGAGAGTCGGCTGAGTCAATTGCAGGCTCAGACGGAGGGTGGAAGTGAAGAGGTGTTTTAAGTGCTCGGTTTCGGCCATTCCTCCCGAAACTGCAAGGGCCGTGACAGTTGCAAAAACTGCCTTCGTTGCGGGGAGGTGGGTCACATCCGTAAGGACTGCCAGGTCAAGTCCTGTTTCCTTTGCCAAGAAAATGGGCTCGCTGATAAACACTTAAAGCATATTGCTGGGTCTGGGCAGTGTAGTGTATTTAAACTGCACTACAGCAAGCAAAATCACTCCCACGAAGATAAGAATCCTTCAGTGCAATCTTGAGCGATCCAGGACGGCTGACGCACTTCTCTATCAGTTTGCCCTCGAAAACGATGTC